CCCCTTGACCTAGCTCATGAAGAATCAGAGCAAAATAATAATGCGCTAAAAGGAAGGGTGAATCTGGCCCAAGGTTATTTGGTATTGGCGGCAGAAATCAAGGATAACGGGGTAAACAGGACCCAACGTAAAAGGGTAAGTGTAACCACTCAAGAACCCTTTCACGTGAGTGGTGATGTCCTCTTCGGGGGTCCGGATCACCACCTCTTTGCCTTCCCAATGGCGATCCTTTTTTACCTGCTTCATGCACCCTCAATTATCAAGCAATTATACCTCGACATCGGCTCGCATCGGCAAGGGACAGAAGAGGAATTCTCAATCATAAAATCAGAGGTAAGATCGCACGACCCCGGAACGCACTCCTCGATGCGTGGCTCCACCGGCATTTTATCACCGATCGGCCGTGATGAAGAAGCCTTTTTCCTTTTATGGAACGGTTTTGGAGGTTTTCGCCATTAATTAAGGTAGAAGGAAGCGGAAAGAGGTGAAACTTAGTATTCTTGGTACTAACGAAGTCAACTCAGTGGGTGGTGAAAGAGAAGAGATAAAGAGAGTAAAAAACGGAGGTGAAGGTAAAATTTTGATTAAACAAAAGAGCCTATAGATATAGATTTACGACGATAGTTCGGTGGTGCTAGTGGCCGACCGTCCACTGGCAATCATTAATGGTTTGGGAACTGTACCGACGGGATATTTCGTTCACCTCAATCACTTACGTCACGGGGATGACATCACTATTGGGGTCTCAAGAAAATCAAGGCTAAAGTCGTTTCTTATCATTTTATTCTAAGAAACGAAGGGACTATCTATATACGGGTAAAATCGGGCTTGCCCGATTTTGCCATTATTTCGAGATCGAAGAACTAAATCGTGGGTCAGCCACATAATAGATCGGGCCTGAGCACGAAGACAAAGTACTGAGTTCGGAGATCGAGGTACCCGTCGAGATCGAGATCCCTGACGATCGAGACCAGATCTGATCAGCTTCGAGCGGAACGCAATAACTGCAGGGCGAAATATTTGTAACCGGTCGGAGATCACGGCGGAAATCTCGGAGCGGATCAAATCAAGGGTAGTTAGTTGTGTCAATCATGGGATTTAATTCCGTAATTAGAATTGTACCTCAATTTGCATTCCTCTAGTATATAAAGAGGGGTACTCATCATTTGTAGTCTCTCTCACATTCATACAGATCAAGGCAATACAATATTTCTTTCTTCTGCTCATCAGCTTACTGCTCTTTAATTATTGTTCTTCAACGGTTGTTCTTTAACTGTTCTTGCTTTGTCACTCTTGAGGGTTCATCAGCTCGAGGATATTGTCCAAACGTCGGTTTCTTCTATATTCTTATCAATTTCATCACTTATCTCTAAATTTACCAATTGGTATTAAGAGAAATCACATATCCTTAAAACCACATTACAAATTTAATTGTTACTCGATTTTTCTGGTAAACAAAATAATACAACAAATTAAAACATGTAATATCAGAAATGTAAAGATTAGAAATTTTAACAGAGTTGACCTACAATCTCTTTTGGAGACCAATCCCTTCGCAACTTTTCCTGATCTATATATCAAGTTCATGATGGTTTTATGAAGGTGAATTATTTAATTTGATAATTCAACTTCTAAGAATATTTTAAGCATGTCAAACACGTTAAATCCAGTGCTTTCTTCGAGGACGAGAGGAACTAGAGATGATTAGTGCTTAAGGTCTTGAAGCAAGACAATAATTTTGGGGAAGCACTATATATTAGAACAGAAGAATTAGCCACGACCCTTTAATTGAGATTTATAATCCAAAAGAAGCGCCTTGTGTATGAACTATATTTAGACTATGGTACGAAGTTGCCATAAATCCATAGTAAAATTAAACTAAAAGAGGGTATAAAGATCGACAAATTTTACAAATTCAGCAAATAAGTAATCAATTTTTGAATAAAGAAAATTCTATGTTAGGATAAATAGAAGGGTACAGGAACACATCAATTTCACGAATAACTTCATCCTAAAAAATGCCACTGTTTACCCTCAAATTCGGATAACAATTAAACTTACATTGTGGTTTTAAGGATATGTGATTTCATCCAATACCAATTGTTAAGCAAGGAAATAAATGAATAAATTAGAGAATAAAATAAATCAAACCAGTATGCTAGCATGGTCTCGACCTCGACTCGGGATAGCTCGAGGTGGAATAGTAAGAACAATAAATGATAAAGCAAGTCTGATAAGCAGTAAGTGTAATAGCAGGAAAGTAACGAGTGTATATATTCTTCTTAGTGAACAAATGATGATTACAAATGAATGGGATCCCTCTTTATATAATAGAGGAGTCCTAAATAAGGTACACTTGGAACTTTTTTCTTCTTTTTAGTTTTCTGTGTAAGACCTTGAGTGGTCTTTGTAAATACTCTCATATATATGAAAGATCCCTTTTCTTTCCGATTTTTCTCTAATCTTTGTTTTAAAAACTTTGTTTTGTTTTTACTTTATGATAATTCCGATATACTTTAGGCCTTGTGAGGATTTTAACTCACTTTGTTGCCTCGTGAAGATTTCATTGAAATTGGATTGGATAATTTCTATAATTGAGTACCTGCTCGAACTCGGAGTGGTAAAAACCCTTGGGTTTTGGTTAAGCGAGGGCAAGCCCTCGAGCTCAATAATGTAATGGCCCTTAGTCTCTTTAATCGGGCCGATACGGCCTCAAAATAGTGGCTTTTTCCCTTTTTTCGGCTTAAAAGTTTAATTTGTTATGCCTTATCATGAGATAAATCTGTACCCATTAGGATTTAGTGTTGTCAAAAAACTTTGTTATGCCTTAGCATAAGTTTGTTCGAGAGTTCAAACAATTTAGTTCCCCTTATGGTTTTCGAGGGTTGATGTTATCGAAACCCTTTTGTAATTTTGCCGAGGGTAGCCTTGTTTAACCGGTTTTGTGAAAATATTTGAAGGCCTACTTTATTGCGGAATTCGGACGTCTCCGAACCGCGTTAGTTCGACCGTAGCCTTTAACGCGATATTTGCCCATTGGGCTTGTTTCTCGATTATACTTCAAACTTGTTCGAAGTATCAGTCCCTAAGTGGGGGTGGTCGTGGCCTATAAAATCGAGGATTGCATTTTTAAGGTCTTAAGATTTTGAACTTTATAAATTCGTACATGTCAATTTTCGGATGACAGTCCCCGAGTACGGTGTTAATTGCTCGAGCTTTAGTTGCGATTGGCTCTTGAGCCGGTTTTCATAAAATTCCGTAAGTACAAAATTGTAAAGTAAAAAATTTACTAAGGCATGGAACATCTGATAATGAAAAGGTACTTCTTTAGATAGACCATTTATGCGTACATGTTTTGTCATTAGGGCTCAGGCAATCTACATGGGCACGGTTCGTTTGACTGTTTGACCCTTTACAAAATTTCCCTGGCGAGACCCTGTTGACATGAAGCATCTTCTTTGTAAACATAACATCCGAGGGTGATGCCCCCAGTATTCGAGGTTGATTGTAAAGAAGCCTCGGATATTGTTGAATTGTCCCCAGGTAGCACATATGATTGTTGCCTCGTTAAAAACCTCGCCGAAAAAATCCATTTGGGATAAAAACCGATCTAAGGAAAAAATAATGCAACGCGTACTTTAAAACCTAAGGTTTTCGTGTTGAGGAGCTTCTTGACGTCTTCAATCGAACACCTGCAATAAGTTAGCACCTGATACAAATGTAAAGGGAGAAAGTCATACCTTAGCAATAATATCGTTTGAGGAGTGATATGTTCCAATTGTTCGGCAATTGTTCGCTCTCCATGGTGCCAAGTTTGTAAGATCCCTTTCCGATGACACCGAGGACCTGGTATGGTCCTTCCTAATTTGGGTCGAGCTTCCCTTCATTCGGGTCTCGAGTATTGAGGGTGACTTTCCTCAGGACTAAGCCCCCTATTTTGAAGTATTGAAGACTGGCCCTTCAATTATAATATCTTTCGATTCGCTGTTTTTGGCGGCCATTCAAACGAGGGCGGCTTCCTATTTTTTCTTCTAACAATTCGAGGCTTGTGCTATAGCCTCGTAGTTTGATTCTTCCGTTATGTATTGAAACCTGATGCTTGCTTCCCCGACTTCGACCGGGATAAGAGATTCGACGCCATATACTAAGGAGAACGTCATTGCCCCCGTACTGGACTTTGTCGTTGTTCGATATGCCCAAAGGACTTCGGGCAAAATTTCTCTCCATTTCCCCTTAGCGTCGTTCAACCTTTTCTTTTAGTTTTGAATATGGTCTTGTTCATGGATTCGGCCTGTCCGTTCCCACTAGGATGATATAGCATAGATAATATCCTTTTTATTTTGTGATCCTCGAGGAACTTTGTTACTTTGCTGCTGATAAATTATTTTTCATTATCGCACACTATCACGGCGGGCATCCTGAATCGGCATAAGATGCTGATAAATCCTGTGCTCAACCCATTTAGAGAAATAGTCAGTCATAAATAAAATGAACTTAGCTTTACCTAGGTCCGATAGCAGAGGACCAACGATGTCCATCCCCCATTTCATGAATGGCCACAGGGATAGGACTGAATGAAGTTGCTCTCCGGGTTGGTGGATCATCGGCGCATACCTTTGGCATTTGTCACATTTTCGAATGAACTCCTTAGTATCTTTTTCCATACTATCCCAATGAAATCCTGCTCTGATGTCTTTGTGGACTAGTGATTCAGCGTCGGAATGGTTCCCATAAGTGCCTTCATGGACTTCTCCTAGAACATAATCGGTGTCCCATGGTCCCTGACATACTAGTAATGGTCCATCGAATGTCCATCTATATAATATTCCATCTTCAGCCAATGTGAATCGAGCATCTTTTGTTCGTAGGGCCCTCTATTCTTTAGGGTCCGATGGGAGCTTTCCGTTTTTCAAGTACTCGATATATTAATTCCTCCAATTCCGAGTTAAGCTTGTGGAGTCTATCTCAGCATGATCTTCTTCGATCACGGATCTCAAGAGTTAAACGATGGTGCTCGAGCTGATTTCGTCTTCCTCGACTGATGACTCCAAATTTGCAAGAGCATCGGCTTCACTGTTCTGCTCACGAGGTACGTGCTGTAAGATCCATTCTTTAAAACGGTGCAAAGTCACATGTAGCTTGCCTAAATACCTTTGCATTCTACCTTCTCGAGCCTCAATGGTTTTGTTTACTTGGTTTACTACCAGCAAAGAGTCGCACTTGGTTTCAATGACTTCCACCCCCATGCTTTTATCTAGTTCGGGACTTGTAATTATGGCCTCGTAATCGGCCTCATTGTTAGTCAACTTAGCAGTTTTGATGGATTGTCTAACAGTGATGCCCGTGGGCGGCATTAACACGATGCCTATCCCGGACCCCTTCACATTCGAAGCGCCATCTGTGAAAAGGGTCAAAAACCCCCTATTGATGCACCTAATTTTAATAAGAGATCCTTATCGACTTCGGGTACGAGGTTTGGCATGAAATCGGCCACGAAGTTTGCTAAAATTTGAGACTTGATGACCGTTCGGGGTTGATATTTGATATCGTACCCACTGAGTTCGACGGCCCATTTGGCCAATCAACCCGACAGTTAGGGCTTATGCAAAATATTTCGAAGTGGGTAAGTGGTTAATACACATATGGGGTGATATTGAAAATACGGTTTTAGCTTCCTAGAGGCGCTTATCAGTGCAAGTGCCAATATCTCTAAGTGTGGATATCTAGCTTCTGCTTCTCCTAGAGTTTTACTTCCATAATAAACAGGGAATTACGTACCTTGCTCTTCTCGAACCAGGACACCACTTGCCGCAATCTCTAAGACTGCCAAGTACAAAGAGAGTTTTTCATCTGCCTTTGGAGTATGGAGCAATGGTGGGCTCAAGAGGTATCGCTTAAATTCTTCAAACGCCTGTTGGCATTCCGGGGTCCAGGCAAAATCGTTCTTCTTTTTGAGTAGGCGAAGAATCGATGACTCCGATCCGACGATCTCGATATGAATCGACCTAAGGCAGCTATCCACCATGTCAGCCTTTGCACGACTTTAACGCTGTCCACGATGGTGATGTCTTCGATAGCCTTGATTTTATCGGTGTTGATCTTGATCCCCCGATTCGACACCATGAAGCCCAGGAACTTGCCCGAACCGACCCCGAAAACGCATCTCTCGGGTTTGAGCTTCATGTTGTATTTTCTTAGTATCTCGGATGTTTCCTGCAAATGAGTCAAATTGTCCTCTGCGCGTAGGGATTTTACTAGCATGTCATCAATATATACTTCCGTTGTCTTGCCTATCTGTTCTTCAAACATTTTATTTACTAGGCGTTGGTAGGTAGCTTTAGTGTTTTATAGCCCGAAGGGCATTCATTATAACAATATGTTCCATACTTGAATAAATGAAGTCTTTTCTTAGTCTTCCGGGTTCATTTAAATTTGATTGTACCCGGAATAGGCATCGAGAAAACTAAGGATCTCGTGGTCGGCCTTGGCGTCGATCATGCGATCGATGTTAGGAAGTGGAAAAGAATCTTTGGGACATGCCTTGTTTAAATCCTTATAATCTACAGACATCCTAAGTTTGTTCCCTTTAATAGGAACTACTATTACATTGGCTAACCATTCGAGATATTTCACTTCCCGAATGGACCCTATTTTGAGAAGTTTAGTTACCTCGTCCTTTATGAATGCGTGCTTTACCTCGGAATGGGGCCTTCTCTTTTGTTTCACCAGTCTGATCTTTGGGTCAAGGCTTAGTTGATGTGTTGTTATCTCCGGCGGGATCCCTGTCATGTATAAGTGGGACCAAGCAAACCAAACTATGTTATCAATAAGAAATTGAATAAGCCTTTTCCTGAGTTCGGGGGTTAATCCCGATCCCAAGTATACCTTTTGCTTGGGCAAGTACTCAATCAATATAACATGTTCCTGCTCTTCGACCGTTGATTTGGTGGTGTCGGAATCATCGGGAACAATAAAAGTTTGAGGGTTCAAAAATCTTCCTCTTCCTCTACCATTTCCCGTTTCTCCGATTCGGTCGAGGCTGGTGGCGGTGATTGCTACTTGGCTTCCTGTTTACCCTTGATTCCTGATCCTTCCGATGTTGATAGCACCGATATCGATATTACCTGATTGACCGCGAACATTTCTTTTGCAGCATGCTGTTCCCCGTACACCATTTTTACCCCGTCTAACATTGGGAAGTTCATCATTTTATGGAGAGTCGAAGGGACTGCCCTCATGTTGTGGATCCAAGGCCTCCCGAGCAGGGCGTTGTACATTCCAAGGAGCTCTTAATTGGTAATCCTCAACCCTGATCTTCGATTGGCACCGATTGTGTACATCTGCCCAAGTTACCGCCAGATATTCGATTAGATTTTGCTTCATCTGATGTGATGCTATCGAACTTCGTTCATTCAATCCCTGAGTGAAAGCTTGAACGGCCCAATAATCTGTGACCGGTGGCCACTCCATACATTCCATTTGAAATCGGGATACAAACTCCCTCAATATTTCATTATCCCTCTATCATACTTTGAAAAGGTCTGATTTCCTTGTCGCAACCTTTATGGCTCCGGCATGTGCCTTTACGAAAGAGTCTGCCAATATAGCAAACCAGTGGATGGAATTTGGTGGTAAATTGTGGTAACAAATCATTGCTCCCTTCATTATTATCGGATCGGTCCCCGATTCGTTACCATTCGACCACTCTAGCACTGGCTCGGTACGATGAGTGATTTCTGGCTCGACCCTACTCGGAGCTCTATGTTGATTTTGTAGCTGAGCAATATCGGCTTTCTGAGCCTGTAGAATCTCTAATATCACTTGGAGACTGACTCCTCCATCTCCTCTTCCCTGTGTACCTTGGCCACCAGATCGGTCTTCTCTGCGTACACTCCCTTCGGGGTCCGCGCCTAGGTTCGTATTTAAAGCAACGTGCGAACTAACATCAACTGGATTGAAAATCGGTGCTTCCCCGAGATTAGCCTGTGGCACCTCGGCTCCTAGAACAATTACATTATAGTTTTCTTCGTGCAATCCGAGGCCATTGTCACTATATGTGGGTGCATTTTGTGCGTTTGACCTGTTTTAACCTGAGAGCAAAGATACTTGACAAGGACAAGCGTAAAATAATGTGTGTTATCTGAATCAACACCAAACAATCACTATTATCCTTAGCCCCACGGGGGGCGCCAAACTGTTTACCCTCAATTCGGATAACAATTAAACTTATATTGTGGTTTTAAGGATATGTGATTTCAGCCAATACCAATTATTAAGCAAGTAAATAAATGAATAAATTAGAGAATAAAATAAATCTAAAAAGTATGCTAGCCAGGTCTCGACCTCGACTCGGGATAGTCTCGAGGTGGAATAGTACGAACAATAAATGATAAAGCAAGTCTGATGAGCAGTAAGTGTAATAGCAGCAATGTAACGAATGTATATATTCTTCTTAGTGAACAAATGATGATTACAAATGAATAGGATCCCTCTTTTATAATAGAGAAGTCCTAAATAAGGTACACTTCTTATTATAATAGGAAACCATATTAACATCTGATTAACCGACGTGGATTGATCCGTTCCGAGATTCACGCCACGATCCTCAACCAATCGCGAATATCTCGCCTTTTCCGTTATCAAGCTATATTGATGTCACTCAGAGTCTGTCTCTTTCTGGCTGCGATTGACGTCGACCTTGGTCCGAAAAGAGGCTTCAATTCTAGACTCGACGTCCTAGCTCCTTGACACGACATTCCCATCTCGAGCGTACGACGAAATTGGGTTGCCCCGATTTCTACCTTATTCAGCCACAAACTATAAATTTGATGTACACACAACAAGTTCGAACATCAGTGAAATACTTGTGCCAAGGTGGTTAAAAGTATTTGTATTCATGTATAATGGGTATAGGGTTACGTTGGAGATTTAGCAATAAGTAGGACATCTGACTGCTATTATAGTTCCATGTTAATTAGGAAAAAGTCTTTTCTGACGACCCGACAGATTGTTTTGCGTATTTGAGCCCCATTTTCCCTTTTAATGATTCATGTATATGCATTTGTGGGTTTATGATTTGGGAGTGATGGTTAGTTTCGTTTAGGGAAAAGTCTTAGAATAATTTGGACCCTTTGGTTCTTGGTTTAGAAGCTTAAGTTGGAAAATATTGACCTAGGTTTGAATTTTATGAAAATGACCCCGGAACAATATTTTGATGGCTCCGATAGGTTCGTATCGTGATTTTTAATCAAGCATATGCCCGAAATTGAATTCAGAGGTCCCCAGGTTGATTTGACTTGTTTTGTTGAAAGTTGGCAATTTGAAGCTTATAAAATCCTTAGATTTGATCGTAGGTTTACTTCATGGCTATCGGTTTCGTATTTTAATTTTGAGACTTGGAACAGGTCCATTTTACTATTTGGAACTCGTCTACAAAATTTGGTGTCATTCCGAGTTGGTTTGATATGAATCAGACGCTTGGTTGTGATTCTAGAGATTCTTGAGTTTCCTTTTGAATTTCATGCTTTTTGATGTCCGATTCATGGCTTCGGATATTATTTTCGTATTTTGATTGCGCGAGCAAGTTTGTATGATATTCCTAGACTTGTGAGGATATTTGGTGTGGAGCTCCAAGGGCTCGAGTGAGTTTCGGACGTGTTTCAGATTTGTTTAAACTTATTTTTAGGTTGCTGGAGTGCTGGTGCTCCAGTTATCACAATTTCGAGCATCAGCATCGCAATTGCAAAGTAGGTAGGAAAGGGTCAGGTATTGCATTTTCTATGCCTTAATCGCAATTGCGACGTATAGGCTCAGGCTGTGTAGGTTGCCTTTTGGTCGCATTTGCGAAGTTAGTTTCGCAATTGGGACATTTCCCTGGGCTGTCAGGCGCCGCATTTGTGATTCATTGTACGCATTCGTGAGGGCTTGCAATTGCGAACCAAGGGTCACAATTGCAACTTCTGCACTTGAACAAAAGGGCTAGAAAAATGGAACTTAGTCTCATTTTCATATTTTAGAACTCTAGACTGGTTAGGAGGCGATTTTGAGGAGGGATTTTTACCTACAACTATTGAGTAAGTGATTTTGATAAATTTTCAATTATCTTACAAGATTATTTATGAGTTTTAACCTCTAATTCACGAGAATCTAAGATAATTTTTGGGGAATTTGTCTATGTTTTGAAAAATAAAAATTTGAGATTTGAGAGTCGAATTGGACTCGGATTTGAAAACAAAATATATATATGGACTCGTGGGGTTATGGGTAGTCGAGATCTATCTTTGGACTGGGGTTATGATCGGCGGGCCGGAGATGGCTTTTGTTGACATTTGAGAATGCTGTAAAGTTATCTTTATTAATCGAAAATAGTTTCTCTTGCATTATTCTATGATATTAATTCGTTTTTGGTTAGATTTAAGCCGTGCGGAGTCAAATTTTAAAGGAAAAGCCATTTTTGAGTATTGATTTGGCCTAGATGAGGTTAGTATCCTGCCTAACGTTGTGTGAGGGAACTACCCTTTGGGATTGTTTTTTATTGTACTATTTAAATTATGTGAAAGACGTGTACATGAGGTGTAAAGAGTGTATACACGGGCTTATAAGTAAAAAAATTGTCCAATTTAGATTCTTAGGTTACATATAATTATTTAATTGAAGTTGTTAGTATCCGTTATTTCTTTCGTTGTCAAGTTTATTCTTATATGCTTTAATTGAAGCTTTTATAACATGTTCTATTTTCTATTGTCGAGGTTACTCTTATATGCATTTATAAGTAGTTGTTATTACATGCTATCTTTTCCATTGTTGAATTATTCTCATGCATTTAGTCATAGTTTCTATTTCATGATATCTCCTTTTATTGTTGAGCTTATGTTAGGCAAGTGTAACGACCCGACTGGTCGTTTTGAGCAATTGTCCCAGCTCGACAGTTTGAGGTCTCGAGTAGCTTCATATTATGTGAATCGACTTGCGTGCGCAGTCGGGGCGTGAAACTGGAAAGCTTTTATGTGAAAATATAAAAAAAAAATAGTAATTTTTAGAGTTAAAATTTAGTTTTCAGTTGACTTTGGTCAACATTTTTGGTAAACAGACCCGGATCTGTGTTCCGAAGATCCCGGGGGTCCGCGGTAAGATATGGGACATAGGCGTATGCCCGGAATTGAATACCGAGGTCCCTAGCCTTAGGAAACAATTTTTGAAGAAAATTGTTGTGCTGGTTATTAAAGGAAATAAAGAAATTAATTAATATTTGAACTCATTGGTATCGGGCCCGTATTTTGGTTCCGGAGCTCGGTACAAGTTTGTTATGATATTTAAGTCCTATCTGTAAAATTTGGTGAAAACCGGAATTTATTTGACGTGATTTGGACGTCCGGTTGAAAAGTTAGAAAATCATGTGTTTTGAGGTTAAATTCATAGTTTTGATATTATTTTGATGATTTGATTGCACGAGCAAGTCCGTATGATGTTTTTAGACTTGCGTGCATGTGTGGTTCGGAGCCCAGAGAGCTTGGTGAGTTTCGGATAGGTTTAGGCTATGTTGCGCTTGTTTTTGGATGCTTCATCGTCGTTTCTTCAAGCAAAAATAATACCACATTGAGCAAATAAGATCCAAATTCAGTTTTGTTTGAACCATTAGATCCGTAACAAAATTATGGAGCTATAGGAAAAGGAATGATCGAATTTGGACATCGTATGAGGAAGTTATGCTCATTTTTGTGTCAGGAAAAAATTGCTGGTTCTGGTGTGGTCGCAAATGCGAACTTTTTATCGCATTTGCGATGCCCAGTTCGCAAATGCGAGATTTTTGTCTCAAATGCGACTTTTGCCAGCCTTGCGTTATTCGTAATTGCAAGGGTTTCACAAATGTGAACCCTGGGTCGCAAATGCGACATCTGAGACCTGTTAATTGAGGTTTTTGACGAGATTTTCACCCATTTTTTAATTTTCTCAAGCCCTAAACTTTCATGGGCGATTTTACAAGGACCCAAACTTCTCCAAATCATTGGGTAAGTGTCTCTAATCAATTTCCAACTATACTTTGTGATTATATCTTAGATTTAACATCAAATTCATGAGAATCTAAGGGAAAATTTGGGGAAAATTGTGAAATCTTTCAAAAATGTAAAATGATGATTTGATGAGCAAATGGTATCGGAAATAGATAATTTTTGTA